ATCCAGTTTGATTTACGTTGTAGTGCGTATACATGATATATTTTTCAGCGATAACATCCGAATCTACAACAATAACCCTCAATAACAATAGGAAGAACTGATAAAGTTCTGACATTTGACAGAGAGAGAGAGAGAGAGAGAGAGAGAGAGAGAGAGAGAGAGAGAGAGAGAGCAGAAGAGCGACCGTGCCGTGCTGTGCCGTGCCGTGTCGTGCGATCCATCGGAACACACGGGAGCAGGCAGCCAGCCAGCTGGTCCCGACAGCGGCGGTTTGATATCATTGGATCATCGGATTATCGGAGGAGCACCCGTGCAGTGGTTTGGATACCCAAAGAGAGGGTTGAATCAGGTTGGTGGTGGTCTATTGCACCACGCTCACATGATCTGAGCTGAGTGGATCTCTCTCGGCTGGCTGGCCTCCACGGCTCTTGCTCACTCAAATGGCTATTGAAGGAGACAGATTTGCCCCAGTGCAGACTGCAAAGCAAGTCAATCATGACTGACGAGCCGTCATATCCCGTTGAGGTACAATTCCTGTGCAGCCTGCTTGCGCCGCCCGGTGCAGCTGTCGTCTTGTGGTTGAACCCCCATTGACTCGATGGTTTTATCCTGATTCGCTACGGACTTGCGCTGCTGCTGCTGACTCACCTGACTAGGTCTGGCTCTATGACCTGAGTGGCGGCATGATGCGTGCGCTGTCGTCGCAATTTTTGGGTATGTACTTGAGTGTGTGTGAACAGCGGGTGCGCTTGACGGGCTGCGGCGCTGGTCGCCACGTCACTTACGCCACCCCAGCCTTGGAGCCATGACGCAAACTGTATCCCGAGGGCTGGGCTAGTTTGGTGTGGCCTGATCACTGGGTGGTTGTGTTTTGGGTAGGTCGGCAATTTGAGGGCATGTGGCACACCAGCATCGTAGTCTATGGCACGGAGTACTTTTATGGTGGAGGCATCCAACAGGCGCCGCCCGGTACGACGGCAGCCGGCCAGCCAATCGAGCGCATCTCGTACAACGCCACCGAAGTGCCTCGCGAAATGTTTGAAATGTTCTTGCATGACATCCGTGAACACTTTCATTCCGATGTATGCATGCTCGTCCGATCCAACCCCACCTACCCCTGCCATGTTCTCTCGAGGCCATGCGACTCCATCTTCATCCTGCGCCTTGCTTTGCTTAGACGTACCACTTGCTGCAGCGAAACTGCAACCATTTTACGCAAGAAGCTTTGCAGTTCCTGACAGGACAATCCCTTCCGCCAAAGGTTCGCGACCTGCCTGATGAATTTTTGGCCACGTACGTACTCGCATGGGGCAAGACATTGCCACTTTTGCCGCCGCAGCAGTGGTGCCTTGGTTTTATTTTGACCATCAGAGACGACACACACCCCCTTGCACCTCACGACCACCACGCTCGCCTCCGTTGTGTATTGGTCATCGACGGACGATGACGTTGCTGCTGACTCCGCAGGCCCATGGGCCAGATGTTGGCGCCCATGATCGACCAGTTTTTTTCAGGCCTACGTGGCTCGGGTGCACCCGTCTGAGGGCCCATGCTGCAAGCAAACCCTCCCATCGGACCAAGTTCCATCCAAGACACGCTGAGCGTATCGCTGACCAGCCCGAGTCTTGCACCTTTGTTTCGAGTGAACCCCCAACTCAAGCGTGCCGTGCAGGCAACAGCCGAGACATTCAGAAAGATTCCTCGACGGTGAGGCAGCAAAGCAACAAACCCTTGCTGCCACTCAAAATGGTGTCGTGTCAACTGTGAGCCGGCCATGTCTCCATACACCGCCAAATTCACAAGTCAGCTTCTTTTCTTCAAAAAAAATCCTTCTCTCACTCTCTTAACTCTCTCAAACTCTCTCAAACTCTCAAAACTCAATCTCTCATCACTATGTCTTTGCCGTTTATGCCTTTCTCTCTTTCTCGAACCAATTCATCTCTCTCTCTCTCTCTCTCTCTGTCTCTCTCTCTCTCTCTCTAGTTTCAAATGACCAGTCAAGATGGGCGTGACGATTGATGTGATTGGGACGGTGCTGCTGCAGTACCTGCTGCCGGCTCAGCTGCGTAAGAGCGCTGGTGAGTTGATGCGTTGAAAGACTACTCGTGGCAAACGGGGACGTGCATGGTGGCGCTTCGAGGAAGAAAAGCTTGCCAGCTCCGCAGGCCTGGGGCGCCCATTGCCAGCATGGCATACACCGCGCACCGGAACGCTCACGCGACTGGTGAATCACTTCACATACTTGCAGCAACCGGCACAGTGGCCTGGAAGCGCGTTTTCCGCGCCCTTGCATTAACGGGCCTGATCTTTGCCGTTGTGTTTGGCTACAATCTTTACCAAGATGGCCCCAACTTCTACCAACTCCTGGGTGCGTCGGACCCGACGGCCAGCCTTTGACCGTGCTCTGCCTGTGCTAGCTACAAGATGGCTTTGCCAGACACACAACTCACCTGCCTTGCCGCATTGGTCTGACTGGCAGATGTGCCCCGCGACAGCACTTGCAGCGTCATCAAAAAGGCCTATCGCAAGTAAGTGCTCCACTCCACACCTCGTCTTGCTCTCCTATCGTGCGTGCCGACCATCGACTTCCCAGTCCGCATCGACATGTGACTTGGTGTTCGTCGCCCATAGCATGGGCAAGGAACTCCACCCGGACAAGGTGGCTACTCAAGACAGCGAGTCCTTCCAAGTATGGCTCGAGTTGTGACCACCCTACCCCCACCCCTTGTCAATCGACGCAGGCCTTTCAGGGTCAGCCGCTTCACAAATAACACCCTTGTTGCCACACTTCATACGATCCCATTTCATAGGTCATCACTTATGTGCGTGACGTCCTTTGTGATGCAAATCAGCGTCATGTCTATGAACGGTCAGCGCTTCGCCTCGCCAGAGCAAATGATCAACCTGTCTGGTTCGAGACGGAAATATCGCATCGGTTGCACGCCTGACCAAGCGTAAATCTTGCTGCAGATTTGGGCCCGAAGCCGTGGAGAAGACCGCCGTGGCCGACACGACGCTCAATAATATTCTCCTTGGCGTCCTCCCCTACTACATTGGCTCGCTCGTCCTCCTCCTTGCCTTGACTTCGGGCGTTAAACGCCAATCTGCATCCGGATACTGTTGGGCCGCCCTGGGTATGTGCCACCAAAACCCGCATTGGCAGCCCAGTTGGTGGCGCCCTCCGCCAGAGAATACACAACAATTGCACACTACGCTCTGGCACTTGACAGCCCGATCAGTTGGCCAACCAGCCGCTTGCTAAGCATGTTGCATCTCACATTTTGAAATGGTTGCAGCCGGTAGCATTGGACTTGAAGTCATGCTGCGTTTCGGCGAGGTGGATCTACTGCCGAGATGGATCAATCTTCTTCCATACCAACAGGTATGAAAGTTTCACCCTGCCTTTAGCGGCACCTTTGATTTATCAATGCCTTGACGTAACGTGACCCCGTGCTGCCGCTACCGTCTACTGTGCAGGCATCGATGCTCCATACGGCCTTGCCGCTGTTCATTACGTTCCTGGCCCACCACGCCGAGGCCTCTTACGTGGATATCCAACAAATTTTCTTGCAACAAATCAAGTACGCCTGTCCACCCGCCCTGAAAGCTCGTGTTATGAAATTTTATTTTCCTCGGGCACTTTCGACACGCGCTGAATCGACTGTTTTCCTGGTGCTTGGCAGAGATGAGCTGGACATGGTATTGGATATTCTTTACGAGCCCGCTGGCACACGAGGCCCAGCTGAAGGTGGTAAGGAATTTGTTTTGCAGGGGCCAACATCAGAACATGACGTGCCCTTGCTGAAGCTCTGTTTGGCTAGCGCGTTCGCCGCCCTCCCTCATCGCCTTCATGCCTCGCGCTACATATTCTTAGGAGATGAGAACCCTGGCCAGCGCTCTGCGGCATGGCAAAATCGTCTCAAGCTGCGTCAACGGCGCGAGAGGACGGTATGTGTGCTGTCGCTTCGCTTCCCATTCTGACCGATCACATGCTCATGGCCGCTTTCTGGGGCCGGCACTCAGGAGCGCGCACAAAGTGCGCCCAAGGAAAAGAGCGGTGGCCTCAGTCTGATTCAAATGCTCGTGATCGGTAGCATGATTTATAACATGTTCTTTGCCAACTAGTCGTTCGCCAAATCATGATGCATGCACCCGGGCGGTTGACCTCCAAGACCTGTTTCGGCTTGACATGTGAATTGACGACATTCGAGCATGAGAACGAACCTGGTGTTCATCATCCAAGTCTGATTTTATTTTTTGTTTTTTTGTTTGTTTTTTTTGTTTGTTTTTTTTGTTTTTTGCCCTCGTCTCTTTTGACCGTTCACGCTGTCCTGCTGTCTTGGTCAATGGCATGAGCTGTTGTTTGGTATGAAGAAGATCGATCAAGAGACCCGCGAAATCAGTGCTGCAAACATGTGCTGTTACGGGTATAAATTGTTCAAAACAAACGAGAGATAATCACAGAAAAAGTCAAAAGCACAAAACATGGAAACACACATAGAACACTTGTGGTGCCTTCGGAGGGGGGAATCATGACAAACACCCTCGCGCATCAAGCACCTAGCATAGCGCCGGGCACAAGTGGTCTGTATCAGTCGCCCAGCGACATCGTCCACAGAGGGCTTCAGGCTTGCTTCTGTACTTGAATCTTGCGTGTCTTGGGCTGGGGCGTGGGCAACTTGGGCACAGTCACGACAAGCTCCCCGTTGTGCATGGAGGCTGTGATGTTGTCCACGTTGGCATCCTCAGGCAAATTGAAGGTGCGCTGGAAGGATCCAAAGCTGCGTTCCACCCGATGCCAGCGAGGGGCCGCCACAGTAGCGTCTTTTTGCTGATCAGCAGCCGGCTTGCGGGGCACTGGCTCAGCGTCCGTGTCCATGACATCGCCCGCGCCGTCGGTGATGGCATCGGTCTTTGTTGTGGCCGGGAGTGCAGGTCCCTTGGTTTCCACGCGGCGCGAGCGTTTGCCGCTGACGGCAAGCGCATGGTCACCGGTGAGCTCGATGGATATGTCCTCCTCCGACATGCCGGGGGTGTCAATGTGCAGGCTGTAGTGGTCAGCCTCCTCTCGCACATCGCAAGCACCCATCATCTGCAGCTGACGGCCCATGCCCCGTTCGGCTTGAGGCTCAAGGTTGCCTTTGGCATCTTGATTGGGAGTAGCCGGGGGCGTGTGCAGCTGCTGCAGCGGCCAGAAGAAACCACGGGGCATGGACACCCAGGGGTTACCGAACACGTCGTCAAACAGGCTGTCGTCGAACAGACGTGAGGTTGCGTGCATCAACGCCATGGTGGTCTGGTAGCGGGCTGAGGTATTCCAATGGAAGAGCTGTCTGATGCAGTTGGGAATGGAGTCGAAGGTTCTTGTTGAGAATCGCACTGGCTATCACTTGATCTTGTCTGGAGATCACTGAAAGAAAATGCACTTCCGCCGGACCGAAAGGGCACTTGTAGTTGATCGGCCACGAGCCAGATCTTGCCACCTACCAGCCAGCGCTCTGCATCGAAATTTCCAGTCCACGCAAGAAACAAGCTGACAAGCGCCGTTCCACGTACCAAAAACGTTGACATGGGGGGGGCGATTGCATCTCCCGCCGGCGTCGTGGTAATCTCGACATGGGCGATGCGCAAGCTCGTATTGTCTGGATAGAAGGCGCGGCAGCTTCCTTGCTTTTCTCGCAATGTCCTTCTCCAAGCCCAACCGGCGTTCCAGTCCCACCCAGCCACGCCCGTGCCCGCCAGCAAGATCCAACTGACGCCCCACAACGCCCCCGAAGCTAGTAGCAAGATCGCTGACTGCTTGTATACCGATCGGCTGGTGATGCAAGACATGTCCCAGAATCAGCTCGAAAATGCGCGAAAGCCAACTGCGATAACCTCTTTATCTCCATCAATAAATAACATTACTCCTTCATTTATTTCTGCATATTCTTGTCTAATTTCACCATTTACTTCAAAAGGCCGTATAATAAAGCATGGTTCTCTAATTTATAATTGTCTGACAAGTGCCGAGTTTGCGCTTGACGACCAGAAACTTCGCGGACGTGAGAGAGAGAGAGGCAGCGACGGCGAGACAGCGCGGGGAGGGACCCGCCTCGCTACATCTCTGCGCTCTCTGCGCGGTGGGGGACGCTGGGCGCGCATTGGAAACATTGGAAAGTACGAGAAGGTGGAAAAGACGTCAGCCTGTGATATCGTCATGCTTGACTGAGGTGTGACGTTGGGGGTGGGTGAGAAGAAGAGAAGGCCGTCCGCAATAGCCCCTGCCGGGGTGGCTGGCTGGACCTGCTTCAAGTACAGGTCAAGATGTCGTGGGCGCCTTTTGGCACTGACACACAGCCCAGCCTGGACACGCGCCTAGTGGGAGGTAGGTGCAACATGGCCAGGTTGCCACCTGTCTCGCTCTCTTGTGACCTTTCCATGCTGACCTTGACGGTCGACCTCACCACTGTCTTACCAGGTCGACTGGTTCAGGTGACCAAGGGCGCCGCCAACGCTGGCCAAGCACAGAATGGCACGGGGGCTGCTGATCGGTGTGTTGCTCCCGTGCAGCACGTTGTCTTTGTTCTTTCCTTCCTTTGCTTCCCAGTCCACACACGATTCGGGCCGTGTCAGGCCCTTGGCAAGCTCGTTGATTTGTTGCATTGCTTTTGACTCTTGTGTGTTGATGCTGGTGTGATTTCTTGGGGGGGTTACTGCTAGGCCCATTGAACCTCCGGCTGGCGTTGTTGACGTTGCCAAGCGCCAGTCTGGCAAATATGCACAGTACGTTATTCATGGCTGCATGCGTGAGCTAGACCTCCACGGCTTGTCGTCAGCTGGGAGCACCACCTGTTCCTCTGATGTGGTCACTGGCTTTGGGAGCAGATTTATGCTGTTGCTCGAACATGCCGAGCGTGATGGTTTGCATTACATTCTCCTACAAACCGTGCTTGAGGTCAGATAACACGTGATGTTGGTAAATACGGGCGTGTCTCGGCAGGACCTTACACTTCTGGCCACTACGCTTCGGCAGACATTGCGACGCTCGCGCCTGCCGATCCACGTGGGCGAGTTTACGGCTTACCTGCAAGGCTTGGCAGGCGGTGAGCGCCGCATGCGCTTTGAAGCCCTCAAACACCATCTCGCAGCCCTTCCTACCCACGTCTGTGACGACAATGGTGCCAGCGTGGGGCCGCCGACCGCGATGAATCGGGTTCCGCCCACTCCGCCCTCCTTTGGCATATCGCACCGAGCCCCAGTGTCACCCATCACGTCACGCGGTCCCTCTGCCCACTTGCGATCCGTGCGGTCGGGCAGTGGTCGTTTACAACCGTTGCTGTGGCAGGATGTCGAAAACACCAGCCCGGCCCTGCAGGACCGCGAATGCTTCTCAACCCATGACAAGTTGCCTCCCATTGGTGGCCACGGCTATTCTCAGCCTCCCCAGAGCCACAATCACACACAACGCACCGTCTCATCATGCCTGCCCACCGGACCAAGCGCGGACATGAGCAGGGAACCCATGCACGCGTATCAACCGCTAGAATTGCGACAAGAGGCAGACATGCACCGCATCAAGCCATGGTTGTGGCGATTTGGAAAATTACACCGAGCTCTCCTCGACGCAGCAGATAGCGGCGGTCGCCTGAGTTCCAATGAGGTTGTCCGTATTGTACACAACTACAATACCATCTTTCAACTCGCTTTGCCCGCTCATTTGATCCTCGATCTGGTCGAGAGTGGAGAGGACGACGATGGCATACTTACCGTTGAAGAGCTGTGCCGAGACTTGATTGAGGCGCTGGAACTCTTACACTATTGCATGGACGGGGAGCACCTCGAGCGTCGTCGAGTTTGAGCCAGACAGCCGCCTCTTTGTTGCTGCTTCGTGCCTGGTCATTCCTGATCTAGGTGCCTTTCACACGCTTAACAGAAATAAGAGTCGTGGGCGGGGACTTTGACAAGGGGCGACTTGCCCACCTTGTTGGAGCCGGTTCCACCACTAAAAATGTTTCTGACCTCTGCCTGATGACATGAACATATAGGTATTATTATAAGATTATTCGCGCGCACTGTAAAAAAAAAAAAGGTTTCCACCAAAATACTTCTTAATCAGACTGAGTGACTGCCAAATAGACTATGGGTTGTGTCGAGCTTCTTGATTGAATTCTTCTTCGAGCCGTTTTCGGCTTTGAATTTAGACTTGCGATTGCAATGCCACCATGAGGAAACTACACAAACCAGAAACTGTGCTCAGGGAACGGCTTCAGTTTAGAAGGCGGTTAGGCGTGCTTGTGCACAGGAACCTGGTTGGCCTCATTCCTTCTTGGCGGCTGCCAGCTTCTTCTCGACCTATCATAGACGTGCCAGCAGATCGCATGCACCGAGCAATGAGCCGCACAAAGGACTTCCCCGTGTTTAAACTATCCCAGGCACATTAGGTTTGATCATTTAAATGTAGATTATACCCACCTTGCGGCGCGTGGCCTTCATGGCCTTGATGGTTTGCTGCTGGAAGATGTTGCGCGGAAGGGCAGCGATGATGGCGTTTTGAACCTTGTGACTAAGGACTCCGCTCGTGATGTCGTCGTGACCCAAAGAGTCGAGGCAAGCCACCACTGTTTGTTCGGCAGTTGCCACGAACATGTTTGCCTTCAGACGAGTCTGTATGTCAGCAGCCAAGCCCAGCAAATGAAACAACAAAGAGGTGAGAGAGAAAAGAACCAAACCAATCCGAACACAAGCCACCGAAACGCAGCAGTTTACTGGTTGAATGCATGAGGATCACGCTTGGCCTACCATGTTTGAAGCCACAAAAAGCGGGGTATGGGAGATGACGTCCAGCTGGTGGGAAAAGAATTGACACAGGCAAGCATCAGATGATCGGGTGAGCAAGAGGGGATCGGGGCAGGACAAAACACGCTCGAGCCCTTGTACTCGAAAGAGGCTGGTATTGTCTGTCCTGGCTCCTTTCGGGAGTACGCGTGGGCAGTGAATGGCCGACCTTGCCACGCTCCTCTGCGGCCAATGTTTGCGACATGACGTGATTGTAGGCCTTGGTGGAAGCATACACGGCGTTGTATGCAAAGCCTTGATACGCAGAGGAGGACGATACGTTGACGACACCACCGCGCGATTTGCGGGCGGAGAGAATGGGCAGGGCCGCTCTGTCATGTAGCAAAGCCAGCGCGCGCATTGCGTGAGGACCATCCATCGCGGAGCTGGCGAGGTCGGCCCGCGATGCTTACGAGAGCACGGCGGTAAAAGCCACGACGTTGACCGCGATGGCGTTGCGGGCTTGAAGCGTTTCCACGGCCTCATAAGCAGCCAGTCGCTGCGGGTGAGGAGCCAAACCTGGGCAGCCACAGCGACAAAGATTGAGTCGAGCATGGCAGAGTCTTTGGCAATGTGGACAAACAAGGGATGTTTCACACGAACCGGCATTGTTGATGACGACGGCAACGTCACGACCCGCCATGGCTTGCGTGACCACGTCGTAGATTTCGTCAAAGCTGGCCAGAGCCATGTCCAAGGTGACAGACTCCACCTGGATGGACGGGTAAGTTGCCAGAATCTCGGCCTTGACGGCCTCGAGCTTGGCCGGGGTGCGAGAGACATTGAGAATGTTGAAGCCCTGAGTGATAAGTCAATGGTGCATGAGAGTGGCGCAGATGCGAGATCAAGGAGATGCGATGGCAAAAGTCTCTTACGCGCTTGGCCAGTTCCATGGCGTAAGCTTTGCCGATGCCATCCGATCCGCCAGTCACCAGTGCCCAAGGCTCGCCCTCGCCCTGTTGACGGAGCGGATTGCAAGATCAAGTGTGCAGATTGAGCAAGTGAAGGGGCTCGGTGCGAGGTCTGGGGCCGCGCGTTGCCTTTTGACGGTCTGTGCCCCGGCAACAGAACTAAAGTCAAGGCCACATTCTCAAGATTGCCGTACCTTGTAGCGTTTGTAAAGGTCATGGGAAGGGCGCAGAAAGGTGGCGTAGGCGGTGCGTACGAGCTACATCCAAGAACCGCATGGAGAAATCAGAAAGAGACAGAAATGGGGCAAGAGTGAGCGATGATCCACCCCGCACGAACTCTGGCCGCGGGGCATGCAGCCAACGGACAAAGGCGACCCCGTACCTTGAGGGCCCAAAAGGAGAGCGTAACAACGCCCACGATGGACGCCGCGAGCTGGAATTGTGTCCACATGATGACGGGCGACAACAGGCCACCGTTCCCAGCTATACCCTGGCATCGAGCATCCCATGCAGCACCAGCCCAGCAAACCCAGTCCACCACCCAGTGAGAGCCGTGAGAAGACGCGAGCACTCACACACACTCTCTCTTCCTCCACGAACGAGCGCGCACGACACACACACACACACACACATGCAGAGATCGCACATACGATGAAGAAACTCCTCCTCCACTCTCTCTTTTCGTGCAACACGTTCCCCACTCTTTTTCTCTCGCTCTCTCTTTTTGTTCCGCTCTCTTCTCTCTCTCTCTCCTCTCTTATCTGATTTATTTTGTCTCTCTCTCTCTCTCTACCTCTCTGCATTTTTCTCCTCTCTGAGACGACTGCTACTGCTGCTACTGCTGCTACTGCTGCTACTGCTGCTACTGCTGCTACTGCTGCTACTACTGCTACTACTGCTACTACTACTACTACTGCTGCTACTACTACTACTACTGCTGCTACTACTACTACTACTGCTGCTACTACTGCTGCCACAGATACGACAACGACAACGACTGCTACTACGACATGTACTACTACAACTTCACATGATGACTTAGCAAAAAGAGACGGGCCGTTCAAGTTGGGCCAGAGGGGAAGAAGACGTCGTGTGAGGAGTGAAACGAGGCTGCACCTCTTCTCGATTTTCTGGTCCCTATCACAGAAGCGGGAATCAACACATGACACTATCATACACAAGTGCGCCTCAGGCGCTGCAGCAAACAATCAAAAAACCCAAGCTATCAAGGTTTCAGTTCCCACGCGGGACGACTCAGCATCAACATCAGCATTCGTGTTGGCAAGCGCAAAGCTGGCCGGGCCAAAACATGGCACAACAGCCAGCCACTGCCAGCCCTAGCGCCGATGCATCATAACATCATAACCAGCATCAACGACGGAGAAAGAAATGGGACTGTGGGGTAGAGGAGCCCAGCCAGACAGCGCATTCAGCAAAGTCGCGCTTCCTACTGGGTGCTAGGTTGGAACCGCGGCTCATGTATTGCTGTCTGTCGTCAGACGCATGCAGTGGATGAGGGCCAAACCGTTGGGGTCAAGGCAACGCGGAGCAGAGCGACATACCGATGGTGGTGACGGTGCCGTGGGCCAAGATGGGGGCCACTACCAGGTGCGGGGGCTGGTGCTGCGAGCCTTGTTCGCGCAGACGCTGGTGGCGGCGCTGTCGCTTGAGCTCCTCGAGCTGTGCACGCGCGGGCCGAGTCGGCGAGCAGACACTGGGGAAAGCAAAGACGTCATCGGGGGTGCCCGGGCCACTGCGGCTGGCCGGTTGATCATGAAGCTGTAAGAGGATGTTGGAGACCAACAGCTCGTCGCGGCGTTGCTGGCGCCGTTGTTCGCGGAGGTGCTGCACCTGGCGCCGGCTGTCACGATTGCTGGGGCTCTCTTCGGGCCAGGTGCCAAAAAGGGAGCGCCGAATGCTGGGCGAGGCGAGCAGCTTGCTGTTGGCTGTGAGTGAGCGAAGGTCGCTGTCACGACCGTCATCGTCATCCCCAGTCAGGTCACCGCTGGACGGCGGCCGCGGGGGCACGCGCTGGGCGACCATGGGAAGGGGCGTTTGCAGTGCCATCGCCTGCATGATGCCTCGTCAAGTGCAAAAAGAAGAAGAAGAAAGAGGGGGTCGTTGATGCGCGCACGCAATGGCATGCAGCGACCGGTGATGGCCGCGAGACGGCACGATTCTGCCCAGCAGCGAAACGGCAGTGGCACCAAAAGTGGCTGCTCAAATCAGGGAGGTGGCCAGGTTCAAGGACCTCAAGGCAATGTTTGGCAGCGTCGCCACAAGCGGTTCGGGAATCGGCAAGGGCAATAGGTGGGAAAAATTGACTGAAGGCTTCAACGGGATGCGCCCTGGCATGTTGGTTTGGGGATATTCGTTGCTGATCCATGTAGGCATGACGGCTCGGCGAAAGGCAGGGCCGGCTGGAGTGGTTGGTCACCTTGCCTCACTGCTTATCGACGGGCGTGCAGCGGGCAAGCGCGCCTGTTGCTGGCGCGCGCGCACGGTTACGGTTTCCGTCCCGCTTCTTGCTTGCATGCATGGTTCATGGAGCGAAATGGGTCAGTTTTTTCTGAGTGAAGCGATGATCACGTATGAGCGTGGAGACGCGTGTGTGTGGCATTATAAACCAAGTTGGCGCTACCAACGAGCCGATGTGTGTGGTGCTTTGGTGGGACAGGTGTGACCAATGCCCAGGGGCCTTGAGTCGGGGAGCATGTTTGCACGCTTGAGGGCAGCGGACATGCGACGGGTTTTATGTTTGCATGTCCCCAACACCCAGCCAAGCAAGCACTGCAAAGCCTGAATTGTGGTGCGCCCACGTTGAAGAGTTGGGTTGCGCGCCAACGGTTGCGCCCCGGCCCGGCCCGAGTCTCCTCGTGACCCTGCAAGAATGCCATGGGGACCTGCCATAGCAGGAGGAGGAGGAGTGAGGTGTTGCAGTAAATGGTTGAAAACAGTTGTTGTTTGAGCTGGGGTATTTTGTACACAACACTTGTTTACACCAATTCGCCTTGAAAAAAATTTCGGTTCTCTTTGTTTGAGTCCAGCTCCCTCGCTCTCAGCCCTTGTGTACAAGTCTCTAAAGAAAGTACAACCACAGGCTATATCTCTGCTTGGCGCTTTGCTAGTACCTAGTAGCCATTAACGGCAGTCATTCTCTCTCTGCAACCACGGCCTCATTGGACCTGCACCTCTCATGCAAAAGCTCACATTGTTTCTTTGTCTCGGGTAAGCGCTCGCGCGCTCATGCACTGCCTCCCTGCTCTGGCTCGCTCGCCCTTCCTCTCTCTCTCTCTCTCTCTCTCTCTCTCTCTCTCTCTCTCTCTCTCTCTCTCTCTCTCTCTCTCTCTCTCTCTCTCTCTCTCTCTCTCTCTCTTTCTCT